TAATAAAGATGTAGATTTTAGATGATGGCATTGTGGAAGGCCAGGGGGTGCAAGTGAGTCGAGAGGGGGGCCCCAGTGAGTATTTTGGGGCGTAAGTGAGACGAGGGGGTCGCAAGTGAGTAAGGGGCACAAGTGAGAAAATTTTGGGGGCGCAAGTGAGTAGTTTACCGCGCAGGACTGTGTGGGATTGATGTGGTTGTGGGTGGCAGGACGACTCAGAACAACACTGTTTTGTGGGTAGGTGTGCATCTGAAATGGAACAAGTGTAACAAGCAGTTGGTTGTCTAACATGTTACACTATCTCATGACAAGTCTTTTTGTGGGGTGAAAATTGAAACCACAAACCTTACTATATTTCCAGTGCAGGAATCACTTGTCTTCCATAGTTGGACTGTGCCATCCCGTCGAAACGTGGGCGCCTCGGTCACTCTCTGCAGGAATCCTTGATTGACATGGAAAATATTTTGGGGGAAGAACCAACTAATAGGCATTTGGGGTTCGCTGGGACAGGCTGTGGGCAATTGAAGAGGTGTGTGGCAGGGGAACCTGGTGCGCTGCGAGTGGATCCTGCATTTACGCAGCTGCAGGGTCACCTTAACTGAACATTGGATTTTTATACTGATATTCTGATATTCTTGGATTTTCTTCGATGTTCTTTGAAGGTGGATATTTCGAATATCTTTTAGCCAGGTAACCAACCCACTCAATGGCGGTTTGTCCCAAAAACAGGGGACGCCTAGGATGGTGCACTGGCCACGGCTCGCCTACGAAGTGTAACCCTGCGTGTTCATCCCTCGCAGTTGAACGGCAAGTTGTCCTTCGGGTGCGCTGACGGTTGCCTTTTAGATGCTGCCATGGTTTGTGTCAAATTAGCTATCTGGGTTTGCATAGGGCACATGCAGCATTATGTTTCCTCTGTCTCCCTCTCTATGTGGTATTCTGCGACACTAGATGCCATTAACTAAAGGGATCACACGGCATTATGGCACCCATAAACATGTGACCCAGTGCCAGCCAGCTGCAAAACGCCAGCCACCAAGTGTGATGAAACAACCAAGTGTGACAGAAATTCCTCATATGTATACACTTTTATTGCTAAACAATGACCAGCTTTGCGGGTCCATTGACATCCCATTCTGTCCACCAGGTGAAGGATCCGAAGGATGAGCTGGGCTGAGAGGAAAAAATCATGCCATGGATGCAGATGCGCTGCCGTCCAAACAACGAGAGTTCTGCTGGCACAGAGTTTCTTGAATCAGAAAAAACTCTCCCCAAATCCAGGAAAAATCATAATTCGTTTGGTTGAGGACACCAATGATTCCAATTTTCTAGGACACAATTAGTTCTTCGGCACTGTTGGCCGCTCCGTTCTTCTCAAGCTACCGGTCCAGCGCGGGTCGCCTGTTGGCTCTGCTGGCTGTGGCCCGCTGAGCTGATTGGGAACCCCCAATCCCATCATTTAATTCGAAACTAGTTGTGATGGGTACATATCCGCCATTTCCGTATGACATATCAAAAATGTCTCCAAGCATCATTTGCCAAGATTGTTTTTTGTGCGTTTGTGTTTTTTTGCCGTTCCCAGAGGTGGTCTGCTTCCAACCCAATGAAGAAGGTGCCTACTGGCGTTGATGCCATCAACTTGAATGAACAGAACTTCAGAACGGGTTTTGGAAAACTTGACACGGCTAAGAAACCTTGGGTATGCAGCCAGAGCCGCAACGGCAAAACCTCAGGTGTTTTTCCTGTTGTCAACTTTGGCCCATGTGCAGAGCTTCAAACTGCACCTGGGTACCACTGCGGTGTGCCTCTCAGAATTCATCCCGCTCACAGCGGTCAATCCATGTGACTCTGCCGTGGTTTGGGCTCAGGCCAGTGTGAATGCAGTGAATGGCAGTGTCCATGAAGGCTGGAAATCCCAGCTGAGTCGAAGCACAGTCAAGCACTCAGTAAGGGTGAACAATTTCTGGACATCCCCTGCCTCACAGGCTGCGAGCCTATTGAGACACAACTTACGGAGGCTCTGATGAAGTCCTACTGTGGCGCAGCTGCAGATTATGGGATTTTTCATGATTTTTCAAAAACGGCCTAGATTGGTGATTTGGCCACCCAACACGGAAATAGAATCAGCTAGAGATGGGAAGATAAGCAGTGCCACCACTATGCGCCCCCTGGGCACCTTCCATTAGCCCTTTGCCTTGCTACCCTGCCGCCCACCACTGCAATGTGGTTTTTCCGCGCATTGTACAATCTGGGGTTCTCTTTGCAAGTGCGGGCCTGTTGGAGGTTTGTCCAGCAATTCCTTTTTTAGGCGAGTGGAGTAGGTTTGCTGCCATTTTCCACTGTGGGTTCTACATTTCTCGCAGGGACAGTGGCACACCGCAATTTCTTGTAGTTTATGTCTTACAGCAATTCGAAACCTAATTGCTTATGAGGATAGGTCAACAGAGCCTAATTCTGGCATGTCTTAGCAACACCTAACTTTAGGCTTCAAATAGTGCCACCACTATGTCGTTTGACAGTTATTCAGCACCTGCTCTCATGTCAATCCTCAGTACCTTCAGTACCTTGGTGATTTTCCAAGCACGGTGAGGTGGAAAGATGATCACGAACAAGGTGGACCGGAGCCCCGCGACCAAAGCTTGCCTTGACGCAGACACGCCAGCCGTTCGGCTTTCCCTTGCCAATCATATGCTGGGAACTCAGCATGGGTCAAAACTGTGTAACCCTGCAAAATAGATGGTAGTGCAATATGTGTCAATATTCAAAACAATCAAAATCCGCGAGTCAGGTCCCAAGGTCTCAAATTCGGACCCCTGGGCCCCGGGCCCCGGGGCTTTTGAGGTTTAAGCATTGTGGCGCCTGGAACCTTTATGATTTCCACCAACCTTCAACACTCTGCTACTACTGGAACGAGCAAGGCAACTGCTTCAAACGCAGCCAGGGGCTGAGGTTTGCCATTAGGTTGGATGGAATATTGTACGAGATATGACTCTGACCATGGTGAGTTCTGTGAGACAGAATGGTTGCCTTGAGGTAGCCACTGCCATCACCACAAGGAAAAAAAAACAGCAGTGGCGCGGAAAGCGACGTTGTGCACAGTCAAGCACTCAGTTCCAGGGAGACTCAAAGTACAGGTTTGCTGTGATTTTATGCTGAGAGTATCATTTTTTACATTCTTTGCAGCGGAGCTGGCGATTGATACACATGAACTTCATCTTCGGCTGTCATTCATCAAGCAGTCCATCACACGATGTGAGCACAACCAAGAACCGGCACAGAATGCATGGTAGAAACATCAAAGCAATGAGGAGCATTGGAAAGAACGACAAGCAGGTCAACGCTACATGTATAGCATGTTGTTGTTTGGTAGAACAGCACTCGAACAACGTGAAAAGGAGGGATTGAACGCAGTCTCTGTGCTTTGGGGGAAGAAGGTGCCACTGATCTACTTGCAAAAATAAAGCATTCTACCTTCATGTGCCTTGGAAAGCTGCAACAACCATGCAACCTTCACCCGAAACTATGAAGCAGGTTGTACAGGAACAGAACTTGTTTTTGGTCTCACAGTCGATGGTCTTTGAGGTTGGCTGCACTCCTGTTCAGACAACTCTGACGGAGGGAGTGATGAAGTCGTATTGCACCTCGGCGTGGGCAAAGGGAAGAAAGAACCAAAATGAAGCGCCCTAAGGCCCTAGCATTCATGTTTAATTTGTTTGTATCACAGCTGATATGATGATCTTGTATGTTGATACCATACACAGTCATTGCCGGGTTTCCCTAGTGATCTCTGAGCTTTGTAATTTGGGCGCAATTGAATCCAAGCAAGCGGAGCCAAGGCTCTCAGTTGGTGGTGGAGGGAGCAGATCTTTCACCTGGTGCGAAAGGCTGCGAGGAGTCAGATACCTACTACGTCCGGAGGTCTCTTGCGAACAAGATGCCGCTTGGCTGCTGATGAAACGGTATGTTGGTCCAAAAATCAGGGATGCCCAAAATATTACTCCAAATTTGCCAATCTAACAGGAAAAACAAGGAAACATATGATAAGCCGCGGGAATTGGAGATATCCCGTTTTCAGACAAACCCAATCGTTTCGTTTAAACTTTTCTCTTGCTGTACTATTTTTACAAATTGGGATGATGATTTCAAATGAGAAATGGTCGTCTTTCAGCGGGGTTGAAACAGTTGAAGCCAACCCGCTGTGGAAACAGCACAGATTTCACCCCACAGGTCAGCCACATGGCGCGATGTCATGCAGCGTGCATCGACTGATCTGAGGTTCACTCATTGTGGCGCCCATTATTTGTATGACTATGATACACCTAGCGCAGTGTGCTACGAGTGGAACGGCTCTGAAAAATGCTGGAGTCGAGGCAGGCTCTCGCTAGATGAACTAGTTTCTGGATGCTGCCGGATGATTGGATGTTCATCATTCTTGGGCCATCTTTCACCGGAGTAGATTGACTCGGAGCTCCCTGAAGTGCTGGTTGAGTGTTTCCCCTCGCTCATGTTTGTTGAGAATTGGAGATAATCGGAGAGTATCACGAGTTTTTTTTATATTTTTTCGATGGCGGAGCGATTTTCGATGGAGGAGCGAATGATCCATTTTCAAATTGCAACATTATTTCCCAATATTTTTCCCATATCCGTTCTTTTGAGCACTGCAGTGCACTGGTCAATGGTCGTGTGGACCAGGCACAGCTTGCAAGACCCACGAGATGGGGCAGAGGCTGGTGGCTCGGAAGGCCTTGATGTGCAAGGCCCGGCCGAACTTAGGAACTTGTGAGTTTGACCTTTGGATACCTTTGGATACCTTTGGATACCTTTGGATACCTTTGGTGTTTTGCAAACATGGGAAAACCACCCATTCATTCATACAGTTTTCCACTTCTGGAAATGGTTTGTATATAGATGACTTAGCCGCTTGAAAGTGAGGATTTTCCGTTGCATGTGGCATTCCCCAACATCTGTGCAATTTTGAGATACCGTGTACACCTGGAAGCCATGGCTGTGTCAGATTCCTATGGTCTCAGTACCGAAGAGACGCTGCAAGGGAACTCCATACACGATGGATACTCAGCGATGCCAGTGGAAACTTAGAGAATTGAGTTTTTCGGAGTTTCACCTTGGGCCCTTCAGATTTTTTCGGAGTCCTTCAGATTCTCAGGTACAACGAAGCAAAAGGGTGCAATGGTTGGAGTTCATTGACCGAGAAGCAGTGCATGGAGAAGTGTTCCAGCAACGCGAGGGCCAAGAATTGCCCCCAGAAGACATGCACCTCTTCCGCAGTTTCAAGCCTGCCTGGATATGGAGGTTTCCAAATATGGAGGTACTTTGTTGCAGGCTCCGAACTGGTGAAAACCCCAAGTCAGGACGTGTTCAGGAGTCTTCTTTACCACTGCCCGCAGTGTTTTGTAAGGGGGGTGGCGGGGGTGGGTGAAGAGGGGCACTAGCGTCTAGGTTAGATCAGCTAGAGCGTCTTCCCAAGACAGCTTCACACCTTTGATACTCGGCCAATAGCCAGTCGGTGCGGTGTCCACAGGATTACTCTATATCTCTCTTGAGCCTTGACAGCTTATGTAAATGTGCTCAATGCTCATGCTACATCCACATAGGATCCAAGCCCAAACGAAAACACAGGCACAAATTCAAAGGCAATGAGTAGAGCACTACGCTTTGTCGTACCCAATTGAGAATAAGAGTTAGAGCCTGCAACTATACTACACGTTGGCTAATCAGCAAAAATGAGCGGAAGTCACGCAGTGGTTTCTGTACAAAAGCAACGAATGTAGGCGGATTGAATGCGACAAAATTGTCCTAAGGACATGTCGAAGTGAAAGCGGCGGGTTCGCCAATTATGGTGCGCGAAGCACGGTCGTTCCAAGCAAAATGTTTTACCGGTGTGAAAAAATCGTTTTCTAAACGTTCGAATTGCACGATTCAGAAATTGAGGCCAGATGGAAAACAACTGACCCAATCACAAAATAAACAGATACAGCGGATCTCCAAAGTCGCTCATTCAAGCGAACGATGGACAAAATTCGGAGTTGGTAAATTTTTGATTCGTTCCATTCGGAACTACTCTGCTCGGCGGAAAGTGCGCGGAGACAAAATGCGATATTATTTCTATCTACAGGAATATATATATATATTTACATTAAATTGAAGTTCAGACACAGTAGAGGCATTGTCTCTAACTAAAAGAGTATATGCCATCTTGTGTTAAAATGAATACTTAGTTGTGGTATGAACTCGCTATCAAGAGTGTATACCTTTGCTCGTGAAAAAGAAATGATTATCTTCATCTATAGAAGTATACACTCACCTGCTTTGCGGTCTCCATTTCCACCAGGATAAGCTGGGGAACCACCATAGCCAGTATCATCCCAGTTGCTCCCAGACTCGTCCACTGAAGGACCATCGCCACGACCCTTTCTCTTGTTGGACTTTTGCGTAGCCTTTCTCTTTTCCTTTCTTGTCTGTTTATTTCATAAGGAACATAGGCACGCCTCTCCTTCCATATATGAAGGATGCAAGTGAACAAGAATGGGGTTGTGCGCATCTCTGTCTGTAGGTGCAACCATAAAGATGTTGTGATCACTAGTCAAGCAAGTTTCATTGACCCTGAATGTAAACGCACCAATAAAAGTCCATGTGATGTTGATCATCAAAAAGACCGACATCTTCCTCATACTCCAATCGTGCATGTCCCGACTCAACAATAGACAGCATACAACAATCACCACGATCTTCTGTCTTCTTTGCGAGTTCTGCGGTGTATGTATCAGCTGTAATACCACTTAGATGTGTTGCTGGAAAACCAAGATCTCGGTAACTACAGGAAATAAAGTGCTTGACCCTGACAGGTGGACAATTTCCACAGTGTTTTCATCTTGATTGTGTTGCCACATTCACCATCTTGTTGATCCAGTACTGCAAAAGACTGCATTCGTACGTGGGGACTCCTCCGGCCGTCGCCTGCGATCGCGTCAACTTGATAACGGGCACAGTCAAAGGCCATGTACGCAATGCACTCTCCTGTGATGCCTGGAGGAGCTGAGACATGCTTCTGTCTGACGTGGTAGACACACACACACGGCACATGTTCATTCGACCTCTTGTGAGGGGCTCCTCAATCTCTGTGTCGCGGTGTTTCGATTTGCCCCAATACACTTCGAATATGGCCCATGATACGTATCTGACTCGTGTGTCATCCTCACAAGTATTGTAACGAGCAATTTGTCGAACATAGCCGAGGCGAGCAGCTACCATCAAGTCATGGTAATCATTGAAGCAAGTAGTAAATCGCGCCTCTTCAAGCAAAGCCTTGTGAGGATAGAGGCTAGCAGCCTCGCAATTCATAAACAGATGCGCTCCAAGATTCTTGACATCGTTGATGAAATAGTTGTTGAACTGTGGCTTGTCGCCAAAATTCTCATGCTCACTGTCCGGGGTGTAATCAATGTGTGGTGCAAACTTTTGTAGTAATGGACATTGAGTAAAGTGTTCTGCACCAATTTCCAAGATTCCAAAACATCAGTGAGAATTGTGGTGATGATCGGTAAGGATGTGTTTCGTCACAATATGTGGGCTCAAACATGCCTCCTCCCAGATATCTGGAGGCCAAGCATTGCAACACAATGCAGCAAGGCAAGACCTTGTGATCTTTCACATAACCCTCCAATACCGTTGTGCTTGTCTCCCTTCTTCTCTCTTCTTTCTTTTCTCAACAGGAGCGTGCCAGATAGTTCCATGAATTTTGAATTGCACATGACCTTGGTGGAAACATGCGTTGTTGCTGTTTGGGGTCTATGTTGGTGTAATTTCTTGCACTTGCAGAGAGCACCTGCAACAGCACATGTAGATGCTTTGTACGCACGCTTTATTAGTTCCAAACCTGGTATGCAGAATGTGCTGAAAGCATTGGCACCCACTCGAAAAAATCAAGCAAACCAACTTGGATATAATCCAGCAACATACCTGGATATCACGAAGGACCGTGAGTGGTTGTGGACCTGAAGAAAAAATGTTACTGCATTCAAGTTTCCACGCATTTTCATCAGAGCGGAGCGTTGTTGCATCGTGCATTTCTTTTGATATTTTCCATGATCTTCCAACAAAGCATCCAGCTATTGGGGGTATAATCCATGGAAATCCTATGGTGGGAGAGATTCGGCCAGGTCGCGCGGCCGTTTTCTACAAGGACAGCGGTTGGTGCCACCTCTACGACTCCTGTGGCTTGGTTCACACACATTGGGATTCAAATGACCATGATCATTTCATGCTGGTTTCTGTATTTTGAGAGACCCCCAGCATCAGAATTTCCATGGTGGGACACAACTTCATTTTTTCGTCAGCTCCCGAGGCGAAGAGCTGGAAGACTTCGAACGGTCGACTCATCTTGGGGACAAGGCACGCCCCTAGAGCTGATCATTGGTATCAAAACTACCCAGATGCTCATTGCGTGGGAATGCAGCTCTGGTATTTGCGTGTAACATGGTTTGTTGATTGCCATGAATTTGTTCACCTTGCCCAAGGTCAATGGTATCAGGTCCCCATGTTAGATCAGGTCCCAATGAGTCAAGTTGAAGGAAGAGTTTGCAGTGGATTGCTTCCCTTCACGCACTTGGCTCAGCTCAGCTCGCACCAGTGGAACCTGTGGGGTTTTGGACCTGAAGGGTTGAGCCAAACTGAGCAGATATTCGTACCCACATCTAGCAACTTGAGACTTGTAATGATTAAAAATGATTAAAACATATAAAGACTCCATTTGCCAAGGGTTTAAGGAATTCCTGAGAACAGTTTGGCCACTGCTCACCATGCTCAACAGGTACAATACAGGCGTGGGATGCGACGGCTGGGGTGGTATCACCCAGGAGCAGTGAAAGGCTCAGGAGCCATGTGGCATGAGGTAAATCCACTGACAAACCATCACTGTTAAAGTTTGGGGGTGTGAAGAACCATCCCCAACCAAGGGGTTCAGTTTGTAACCGATCTGCCATAGAGCATGTTGGATGTTTTTGTGGCACAGTGTGCCTGGCACACCTCAGGTGTGCTCAGAGATGTGTTGGCAACCAGCGAGCTCCAAACTGCCCCCAGAAGATTTGCCGCCCGGTTGCAGGGAGAGAATCCACCATTTGTGGCTGATGGCATCCTGGGTCCGAGGCGTTGCAGCCGTCTTTTACAAAAGCACCGGCTGGTGCCACCTGTACGACGAATGCCCACTGCTCAGTGCCCCAAAAAACATGTGACTTGTGGACTCTGACCTGCCGGGGGCACGCAGGCAGCCAACTGGAGGCACGAAAAAGTGCCACTCTCATTGTGCCAGAGGCCACCCTTGTGGAGCCATGAACTGATGAAGCCTCTAAATTCCTGTGATGTCATGCTCCTATATATGTCCGATTATGTTTGTGCATGATTGTCATGGATTGTCGGATGTACGGAGCTAGAATTACCCAATCGATTTTGATGTAACCTGCAAGCTTTGGGCCTTTGGACGGAATGATCCTCTCATTGGATACCCATTCTAATGTTGACCTATAGCATCCTCTAGCTCTAGCCACTCTAGCCTATGTCAAGGCATAATTGAACAGCTGAATACCTCAGCCATGACAGGCTTCTACCTGGTGCAAGGGAACCCAGGTTGAAGCTTGGGACTGTGACAAGATCGAGCAAAGTCGTTGCAGCCAGTCCTTCACCAGGAGAGCTCGAAAGATTTTCAGCGCGGCTTTTCCATTCGAATCTTACATGTGGGTTGCAGCGCCATTAAGTGGAGATACAAGTTAAGACAAACAGTTAAGATGTTTTTTTGTTCATTTTGTTCCCCATCACTGGAAATGACGCATGTTTGCCGGGTTGAAACCAGCTACCGATTGGCAAAGCCACTTTGCGCAGGAAAGACTTCAAACTACTGACTGAACTATATTGAACTACTCTATAGGTTTCCATGTCCTGGGGCTTGACGGATCTCTTAACATGCCTGACGCGTCCCATGTCATCCCGGAGAGAAATTGGGATTTCCCTTGCCAGGTTAGATCACCAGACCGTTTCCGGAGGGTTTAAATTGTTTTCACCACTCCAAAAGGCGGAAGAATTGCGGTTGGGCGATTGAATGTTCTAAGGGTAAATGTTGCTGGGGTCCCAACAATGGCAGGAAACTTCTCTGGATCCCAATCCCTATCTTTGCCAGTGCTAGGGCTCATTTTTTGCTGGATCCAATCTTGCGAACCTTCAATTCTTGTGAAATTGAATACCCAGACCGTCAAATTTGGCATCAAGACACGTGGGGATTGCATGATCTTAAATCCTAATTATTAATTGGGTTTGTCACGGTATGTTTAAAGGTTGGCGATGCCCCAATTCTTGCGGCCATTGGAAAAAAGGGGAACTTTCAGACAACTCCATCTGGACACATCAATATGCAATACCACGAGGAGCAAAGTCGGCAACTACTTTGTGCAGTGCTCGGTGGCCAGCAACGGCCAGTGCCTGTCTGGGGGCGGTATATGCCAAGCGTCACTTGTCTTGACTGGCTGGGTGCGGGAAATCCACAAGACAGCCTCACATTTGACATGGTAGCGAACAGTTTTGTTTGTTCTTCCAACAGTGTGTCCACACTGAGGGGTTCTTACGGTAGCCGTAAAGGCCGGTGCTTGATCAGGGTGCTCACTCTGGGCGCCGGCATTTTTCCAGTAAATTTCCGTATAAAGTGGCTTTGTGAAATCTTGACACGCGTTTCGACTGCGCAGGCTCGCATAAAGTCTGCGCCGCGGTTTTGGGGTGCGGCATTTTTCGTGTTCAAGAATCCGTATAAAGTGGCTCCTTTTGTGAAGTGTTGCCTTGGATTCGACTGCGCGGGCTCGCACAAAGTGTGTGTCTGCACTCTGGGCTCATTCTGGGGCGCGACATTTTCCGTGTAAAATCCGTACAAAGTGGCTCTTGGGACATGTTGAAGTGCATTTCGACTGCCACACAAAGTGTGGTCCTCGGTTCTGGGCAGATCATGATCATCCTCCTCCCCCCCTCCTCCTCATCATCATCACCATCATCATCATCATCACCGTCATCATCATCTTCACCGTCATCGTCATCGTCATCGTCCTCATCATCATCATCATCATCATCATCATCTTCATTTATCCTCCTCAACATCCTCCTCCTCTTCCTCCTCCTCCTCCTTATCTACATCATCATCCTCCACCTTCTCATCCTCCACGTCATCTTCCACATTATCCTCCTCCTCCTCCTCCCCATCATCATCATCATCATTATCATCATCATCATCATCATCATCTTCGTCGTCATGGTCATTTTCACCATCATCGTCATTCTCATACTCTTCCCCCTCAACATCAGCGTCCTTGCCATCAACATCCTTAACATTATCATCCTCAACCTCATCATCCTCAACATCATCCTCCTCGACATCATCATCCTCACCATCAACATCCTCAAAACCATCATTGTCAACCTCATCGTCCGCATCATCATCATCATCATCATCATCATCATCATCATCATCATCATCATCATCATCATCATCATCAACGTCATCATCCTTTGCCTCATCCTCCTGCACCTCATCATCCTCAACATCATTATCATCATCACCACCACCACCACCATCATCATCATCATCATCATCCTCAACATGCTCTTCATCATCATCATCATCATCATCATCATCATCACCATCATCAGCATCATACATTATCCTCCTACTCCCCACACTGTTTGTTTTCTCTTGCCGGGATAGTGTTTCTTTCTCAGAACGAAGCTGTTTGGGTTCTTACTTGAAGTATAGGATGAGTTGGATATGTGCGCTTTGGAGCTAGCCTGGTGGTGCCGCTGCGGGGTGTTGCTTGAGGATACTGCTGTTGCAGGGTGCCGCTGCAAAGTGCTGCTTCAGGGTGCTGCTGTTTGAGTGGTGTGTGCGCTGTGGAGCTGGCCTGCCAGTCCCCCCTGCAGGGTGCCGTTGCATGGTGTCGCTGCTGGATGCCGCTGCAGAATGCTTCTTCAGGGTGTTGCTGTCAGAGTGCTGTGTGCGCTTTGGAGCTGGCTTGCTGGTGCCGCTGCAGGGTGCGCGGGTGCAGGGTACTCGTGCTACAAAAAAAAACTTTTGCTATCTGGGGTCCATGCTTGCGTATTTCCCCAAAGAGTGTGTCCACACTGAGGGGTTCTTACGGTAAGTGTAAAGGCCGGTGCTTGATCAGGGTGCTCACTCTGGGCACGAGCTTTTTTCCAGTAAATTTCGCATAAAGTGGCTTTTGTGGAATGTTGACATGCATGTCGACAGCCCAGGCTCGCACAAAGGGCGGGTCCCGCTTCTGGGGCGCGGCATTTTTCATTTAAATTTCCGTATAATGTGGCTTTTGCGTTCTGGGCTGATTCTTGGGCGCGGCATTTTTGCTGTAAATTTCCTTATAAAGTGGCTCTTGTGAAATGTTGACATGCGTTTCAACTGCCCAGGCTCGCAAAAAAAGTGCGGGTCCCGCTTCTGGGGC